TTGAGGATACTTAGGAAGTTAACATATTAAAAGTCCCCGCTTGAAAATGAGGCGTTGCAGACGAAACGTTGTCGCATAGAAAATTAAAGCTGAAAAAATTTTCTTTAAGATAGTATATGTTCATTACTTTCGTATCTTTTATAGTTTTCGAGATATTCACTAACTCAAATTGTCTTTTTCTCAAAAAATTTATTTTCGTCTCGTTTTTTTGTCAGACTGGTCTCTTTAACACCACGGCTTTCCGTTCTACGAGAAAATTGTCTGAAAGAAAGTTGTGGAATATAGTTTTTTTTTTCTTTAAATGAATAGGAGTATATCATTTATGAGTTCAGAGTTATATCAGTTTTAAATATTTTGATGAATTTCGTTAATTCATATGAGAAAAAATAAATTCTTTATTTTTGAGCATTAATGTTACACATGATGAGAAAATATAGAAAAAGTGATCATTAAGTGTAAGGGATAGGAGCGGGGACTTTTAGTATGTTAACATCTTAAGTGTCCTCAACAAAATTCCCAAAGTCAATTGCTTGCCCATTCTCCATGCACTTACGAGCCCTTTTTTTGCTATTCATTGAATGAATTAATGAGGAGAGCTACTTTTACAGCTTGAAGAGAAAACGTTATAAGATCACTCTTTTTTATTATTAATGAGTATATAGTACTCTAACAGTGTCCAGGGAAATGCCATATTCAAGAAGGTCGAGATTTTCATTTATCTTGACTCTCAGGTGAATCAATAGAAACAGTAATACCGTTATATAGGTATAAATAAATGACTATGTCTGATATATTTTTAGCTTTCATAAACACAGCTTTGGATTCATAACATATTTAAAGCATAGGTACATACATTTAAAACGCATTAATTCGGCCTATGTTTAGCTATGATTTATAATATTGGACTCAACCGGGAATAAAAGGAACCTCGATTTGAATGACACATTCTGAATAAAATATCCTGACGTCAGTGTAAACAACGGGACTGGTGTACTGAACTGAACGCGAGGACCAATGTAGACATCACAGAACACTTAAAGAATCAGGATATAGTCAGAGCTATTTTAATCTAAATGGCTAGATTATTATCAAGAAGAAAGTGAGAAGACAGTCACTTATGAGATATCCATTTGATTGTTTTGAGTGTTTACTTGAGGATAATTGCAACAAATAAAGATAAATAGATAAGAAAGGAAGACCAAATTGTAGGTGTACCTGACTCTCCATCAGTTTTTTCGCTATAAAGGACAGTAAAATATTCGTATCCTCAGCATCTAGCATTGGCTAGATATTTCTCAACTCTCTATTACTTATTTATTTATCGAAAATTTCAATATTCGAATTTCCAGAATAGACATACATACATTTGAGATACAAAATAGATATTATTGATATAAATGTCAACGTTTTCGTCTTTCAAATTGTTCTGCGTTAACTATTTCAAGTTAACAAAAGAAATAGTAGTGAAAGAAACAAAAGGATGAGACATTAATTGAAGCTGGATATCCAATAGAAATTTCTTTGCATTCGTGCCCAGAAAAGCTGGTCGATGTTTTTGATAAACTAGAGTAAGTAAAAATGGTCTCATTTTCCAACTGGTATATGGAAACGCTTAAATATATTCAGTGATAAAATAGTATTGAATTAATAAATTTAGATTAATTTATTAAGGAAGTATTCTATTTTACTGTAGTATGTTGTCGTGAGCTTAAAAAGGTCTCCTCCTCCACTACTCCATCCAAAGAAAATATAAACTGTAAAATTACAATAAATAAACTAATTTATCAGAAACTGAAACAGGTGAGTTGTTAGTACCTTACCACTATGCCCTCCCACGGGCGGATCTACGGGGGGAGGGGAAGAGGGGCTTTCGGACTGAAGCCCCCTCCCCCAAATGGGAAAATATAACCATGTTTTTCCAAAAAAAAAAAAAATTAAAAAAATATCTCTCAAAGTATTATTGTTCGTATAACTACATTTAAAAGGGCTTTAGGAATCACTAAAATACCATTTCATACAGTACTTAGTTTCTTTATTTTTTTCCAAAGTAATTAACGTTATTTTTATGAAAAAAAGCTTTCGGGCTGAAGCCCCCCCCCCAAAATTAAATCCTGGATCCGCTAGTGTGCCCTCCATCTCTCCCACATCGGGAGATTTTTATTTTTAGTACCCAGGCTCTTGCACGATTTAATTAAGTCTTATACAAAATTGATATTACATCATATGTTACCATAAACATCAGAATAACATTTTAACGTTTGTTTATAGGAAAATTATAAAATAATTCTCTTTATTTTTACATACCTTCCTTATATGCAAGTTTAATCAACTCAGGGCAGCGTTTGATTTTCAGTAGCTGAGCCCCTGAATAATCTGGAATTTGTTCTTTGTCTTCCAAAGTAAATTGGTCATATCTCAGACTAAACGGTTCACTTCCATGGATGTTGCCGGCGAAGCTAACAGTAGCCAACATCGTTAAAACCCAGTAAACAGCCATTTAAGGCAACAATCAAGAAGCCAAAACAATCTGAGATATAGTATGATACTGACATCATTAATAGTTCAACTACGTCGTCATGAAACAGAATTATTGGAGAACACTAACGAACAATGAAAACTGAATAAAAAATAAACTGCAAAAAAAAAAAAATTACAATCGGTAACATATGATGAAGAAAATATACGTGATTATAAGTACATCTACCGTTATTGTCCCTTAAAAGAGTTGCAGATTTTGTAGGTTTACTGTTTGTTTGTTAGGACCTACATCCTAAGCAACTTCTAGTTCTCCTAAGCTGGGATAATGTACTCAAAGGTTGATAACAGCTCTATCAGTGACTAATCAACGGTTTCAGATAAAAAAAATATATTAGTCTTTTGTTCTTGTGGTATCCATTATATAGGTAATGGTTTTCTTGTCATGCTGATCTAGAAAAGAAACACTTCGCTGTACTAGAAAGTATTTCCTTAATCTGACATTAATATGCTCAAAATTTTGTTTCTTATTTTTAAAAAATAGTATGTATTGAATTATCTGTGCATGTTAAACATAAAGAGAGAGTTAATTTAGTATCCAGTCAGTAAGGCTTGAGGAGGCCATGATTCAGGTACAAAATTTTGGTCAATGGCGCCAAAAGCCAAAAAGTTACTGCAGGTTTTCAAATCCTACAGGCACACATCACAGCCATAGACCAATGGTTGCAAAAATGAAGAATTAAAATTAATTCCAATAAATCAGTTTTATGATGCGTTATAAATCCACTATATCCTGTCCTAAAGTATACTTTAATAATATTCCACTTAACTATGTTGAACAGAAATCTTACCTATGACTCCATCTTAGGAAGTACATTACTTGTGGAGAAGTCATATTTCAAGAAACTGCTCATAGATTCTGATTACTGCAACATTTACTTGACAAACGCTCTAAACTTGCAGTCTAATACCAAAAGCTTACATTACCATTAGGAGCATTTGGAAAAACGGAATTGAGCTATAGGGCTCCACAAAATCATCAAATTCCTCCTGTATCCAATCCTTAATCACCTATTAACTCACAAATAAACTTATCCATATCGACTTTAATATTCCATTTTTTGCACATACAGTCTGAAATAGCAAACTTCTAAATCATCCAAACTCTTTAGTTCCTAACTGCTCATACCTTGCAACCCTCTAAGGTATCTGAAAAGAAGATGGACATGGGTTCTAAATTAAATAAACATTGAAGACCTACAAACGGTCAGTTGCTTCATAAGGTACTATCATTCTATATATTCTATTATACAACATAATTACTTACTGTATATTTTTTAGGTAGTTTTAAATTTCACTAAATAATTTTTTAACAATTTCATAAAACTCATATCTTGAATACAGAAACTCAGTTTCCCAAATGATTTTGAATACATAAACTTGGGTATTAGTTATTTTACAGATGTGGTAGTTCAGTCACTAATTTCCAAATTTAATTTACTCTAAATAAGCTTTAAAAAAAAAAATACTGTTAAGTCTTCAAGACCATGGATGGCGCAAGGTACCAAACAATTATGGTAATATGTGAAGCCACCAGTAAAAAATTTGCACAGAACATACTAAAGCCATAATTGTAAAGAAGATTGATAGGGGTATCCAGTAAAATATATAATTGCCAAAATTTTGACCCAAAGTACAGCGCTGATGAAGGCCCATACTTTGGATAGAAACATCAGTAAAAAATAGAAATAAATATAATTTATTTATTTTTAAATTTTTTTTTTTACTGAGCACCTCAACCAATCTTCTCTTCAATTATTCGCTACAGTGAACCATCGATCCACAATTATAAAGACATAATTGCTTTCACTCTATAACCGAGTTCAAATCGAGTACTATCCTAAAGTATAATCCATGTAACCTCAAATTCATTCTGTAAATACAAATCACAGAATTTTCTCATCAGAATTTACCTACTTCATGTACTTTTTATCCTGTTAAGTTACCCCAGATGAGCTCGACAGACATCAAATGCACTTCCTGAACCCTCGCAAACTTCACTCAGCTAATCAAGGTTGTGTAACATCACTGAAAATCCTTAGAACCACATGAAATACCAGTAAGCTTTTTTAGATCTATGTTTTCAAAACAGCCCTTGTAGCTTAATCCATCCCATATTTGTATTTTTTTCTACATAGATTTTTTCTATTTTATTATAATCTTTCTGATAGTTATCAAGGCTCAAACATTCCTCCTCATTTTACATTATTGATTGATTATCTCCAATCAATTCAATCTAGTATCGTTTACATGACATCCAAACTTACCAGTCATATTTTTAAAAAATGTTTAAAAAAAAAAAATGAGTTGTTATCGTTTACACGACACCCAAACTTACCACTCATATTTTAAAAAAAAAAATATTTCTTCACTTTATGGATAAAATATTGTTTTAAGTTATGATGTTTCATTTAAGTAGTGTAGGTTAATAGTTGAATAAGTATATAAATAAAACAACAAAATGTGATTAACTGTTTATTGAAACAAATAATAATTTAAAAAAAATTAACATGGACGTAATAAAGTTGAATAAAATAATGAAATATAAAAACTATAATAAATCTACTAAGTATCTAACAACGAACATTGATCAAAAATTTAAACAATTATTACTAAACAAATAAAGTACAATGAATTGAATTCTCTTTAACCTGACAAATTATATTTGCCATAATTTTTTTTTTTACAATTACATTCATATATCTAACTACTACCGACCATTATAAATTAGAATCAATTTATTCAATAATAAATAATAAAAATAGTTTGAAAATATATATAGTCTATCAATAGAATAAATTTAAAACTACAAAAATTCAATAGGACTAGACAGCAAAATTTCATTGTAATAATTTGTGAGTAAATTTGAGCTTAGTGATTTCTACAAAAACTAATCTAAGTCTTGGAGGGCATTTTTTAAATTCTATACTATGCAATAGTAAAATTAATAACCTATCTAACGATTCGAAACAGCCAAATAACAGCATAAACCTTAAATAAAAGATATATAATGCCAATCAGTCTTCAAAAAATGTATTCTACTCCTTAATTAATTAAATAAAATAAAGTATTACGAGATAAATTCTTTTTAATAATCTCAAAGTTCATTAAGCACTATAATAAAGAAATGGTAAAAATGGCAGTGCAATGTGCAATTTAGAAAAAAAAAAAAAAAAAATAGAAGGTAAAGTTCAATAACAGATTTAATAAATTCAGAAATGTCATCAATTGGCACTTAATATAACTAACTTATCTAGATAGGCTAATGTCTTGGGAAAATAATTTAGTTATCTATTCTACAAACAACATGACTATCATAATTATACTGGAAAAATTCTTAAACTACATTAGACTAGAAAATGATGATCACCCACCCTGAGCGGAATCTCAAATATTTGATAGAACTAAAATACTGATATACCTCAACTCAAAGCCTTCAGGGAGTTAATTATGAGCCATGTACAGTCTTCAGGTCAAAATCCATATTGGCATAAGTCATAGTGAACAACTTTGTTCAAGGGCCAATCTGCTTTATGTTAAGCCATTCTACTTATTCCATCTAAACTCGGCTAAAGTATCAAGAATTTTGTCCATTTCAGCTCTATAATAACAAATCTCCCTGTTTTTGTTTAACAATTTATCTCTGCAATTCGAACTACAAGTCAAACCTTGTCCCTGTTTAGTAAGAAGGTCACGTACGATTGCTTGCAGTTTCTGTTCTCTGACTTCATGTCTTCGTTCTAAGAAATCCAGTTTATCAAGGAGCTCTGAATACTGCATGCTCTCCTGCATTAAAAAATATTTTAGAGCACTATGTAAACATGAAAAGAAGTAGAAATATGTGTACCTTGGGTCACCTTTTTCAATGCTCTATAACTTCTAAAATAACAATGATATTTAAAGTTTAAAATATATTTTTACTAGTCATACTTTGATGAAAAATTACTTAATACTTTTTGATCAAAAATCTTAATCAAAATTACTATTTGATGAAAAATTGCTATATGAAGTATAGAAAAATTTGGTAAAACACACAACTTTAACTTACCGCTCAACTTTGAATAGAAATTATTTTCTGGACATTTTGGGCTATTATAAAATTTTTGAATAACATTTTTAACCGAGCTAAAGCTAAAAACTTACAGCTAACAAATCAAAAATACCATTAAAATAACAAAAGTCCTATTTACTATATTACCTTTATGGGTTGTATGATCCGTTGATTATGGATTGTACGACTATTAGTTATTAAACTATTATTTTCCATTGCAAAATTTACTAAAATGGAATTAAGAGATTTGCATTGTCTGTCATAGACAGGTCAAAAGTTGTCACACTGATCGGAAGTGGATACTGTTGGAATATCACCGGGAGAAAATTCATCAGATTATCCACTAATTTAATTTCTTAGAAGGTTAGATGATGATTTTTGGGAATAAACAGACTATAGGATAGATACCTAGTTATTTAAATATAATATCAGATCTAGAGTTATTAAACTACAGTAAATATATTTAAGGGTATACGTATACATTCTATTATTTCCAGATATTCATTTTTGGCCTTGATATGTTTTTTTTTTATCCCATATTCAATTATCAAATTTTTTCAAAAGTTATAATTAGCATTTTTTCATAACTCCTAGCAATGAGAAATATTGCAATAGTAAGGGTAAGTATTGCGATCGTGAACATTTTTGAATCTGAGTTTTCAACTGAAATACACGTTTTGGGATATCCTGAGTCTAAATAACTAACTCCTGAAAAATGGTCTGTGTGTTTGTATGTTAGCAGTGTAGCTCAAAAACGAAAAGTCGAACAAAACTGATATTTGATATAAAACACATTTTTATAATTTTCTCTAACGATTTTGATTAAACTTGGTGTATAACTAAGTGATTTTTAATACCAAACAGGTTGTATCCCCATTGATATCAGTTAACAGGGCTTGAAATTCCAATGTTTATATATGGCTTTCTCTAAAGTACCTTTAATATGGTTTAGTTTAAATAATTAATCATCTCACATTATTAAAAGTTACAAAAAAATGCTAAATATAACTTTTGAAAGAATTTGATAATTTAATAAAGGATAAATAAATAAAAATGCTTATCCAGGTCGAAAATGAATCTCCTGAAATACTAGTCAGAAGGTATACGTATAATATATCGTTGGAAAGAGGAGAATTTCAGAAAAAACAATATCACAGACACATGCATCCACACACATACAGACCATTTTGTGAGACTTGGTTATTTGGACTCAAAGTTATTGGTTACTTGGAGTACCTCAAAACATGTATTTCTGTTGATAACTCTGAATCAAAAATTTTTACGATTGCAATACTTTCCCTTACTATATATTACATATAAAAGTAAGCAAAAGTAAAAGTTACTTTTCCAACACTAAAATACACTAGTAAAATTATCAAAAAATGGAACAGATCAGAGATACCAAAATCAGCTGAAAAGTGTTCTGACAGTTCTGCCTACTCAATGTTGCCACAAATCCTGAATCTTCTCCAGTGAAAGTTCTTATTTTTAAGGTCCCCCAAAGTACACATATATCCCATACATGTACATTAAGAAAAATCACAATCTATTAATTCCTATGTAAGTATCTATTACATTTGCAATAAATAAATGAAGCATTTCTGAAAGAAGTGATCTAGAGACAAGCACTAACGCAGTTTATTCTGATTTAAGAACAAAAAAAATAATATTTTTTAAAACAAGACAATCATGATGGAATCAACTAACCACAGCACTTTCTCCCAAAGTGACCTATGTCTATATCAAGTAATACTATTTTGCTGCACATAAGTTTTTTGTACATTATATATTTTACAAAATAAGTTTTATGTATGTATTTTTTATGGCTTGACAAAAATTGAGTTACTGAACAGTTATTTTATTAAATTTTCCTGTAAATTAGATTTTTTACACTTTAATAGCTTTATTCAGAAACGCTTCATAAATTTTCAATAGAAAATATGAAATACAACAATATTTATCTGTAACTGTTAATTTTTTTAGTTAACACTTAAAGAAATTTCTTAAAACGTTTAATTTATATATTAAATATATAAGACCATGATGAAAAATTTCAATTATTCTTTGTAACGATATTGCTATACAATTCTTTTTTAATAATCAGTTATTATATGAAAGTATTTTATATAATAATAAAAGTTGTAATCATTACAGGAGATTGCAGATCATGGAAGCGTGCGATTTTTTTGTTTGCTTCTATCAACGTGGACTCAAGATGATCTCTTTCAGCTTTTAGAACAGTCACCTCTTCAGTACTTCCTTCAAGCCTAAAGGGATGCACAAGATAAGCTTTAAATAACATTATAACAGAACAGAGATATTTACATTGGTTATTTTAAGGTGACTGAAAAATAAATAAAATAAAACCTCATATTTTTAAATGATAATTTTCCATTCGTCATTCATGAAATTAACACTGAACTTAAAAACTTCACATTAAGTATGTGTGCTCCAGGAGGGTCTCCCGATCCTAGGGTCAATCTACGGCTGATGAAAAATTACTTAACATCAGCTGAATTCGAAACCGGGTGAAATGATACATCAATCGCGATTTTTTTATTAACTGTCTACTTGAAATCAAATTGCCCATTTTTAGAAAAACTTTCTGGTTTAAAAACCATCAAGTTCATATTAATTAATTAGTTATGTTCATAATTCAAAGGTCTTTTGTACACTATTGGTTTATTGCTTTTATAGCATAGTTATTTTACAAGACTACTGAGCACCAACAGTCCTGGAACATTTATTTCAAGTCTTATTTTATCCATCTTAAGTCAATCCACAGTCATTATTTATTCATTTCTTTTAGCTAAGAAAAGGATAAAATTATCCCCTTGGGTCTCTCCGAATCATATCTGGCATTATATGGAGAGGTATGAAAGCAATAAAGCAATGGTTTACAAACAGCTTTTGAATTATGAACATAAGACTTTTTTTTTTTTGTTGTTTTTCTGACACCATAAATAGGAAACATAAATAGAATTATTAATTAATTTGTGTTTTTTTACAGAATAAGCTGAGATTCATCTTTAGCTTTGTAAAACCATTAAGTGAAGTGAAACGCTGTCTCCTCAAAGTAAAAGTATTTTTAGCAAAAATAATTGCAATAAATTAATACAAAGCTTTTATTAATTTTGTTCTCTGATATTTATTAATTTTTTTCTGGATGTATCGTAATGAATTGAGAACTAAAATAATACTTTTATTTATGAAAAAAATGCAACTTTTACAAAAATAATTACTCTACATGATTTAATTAATATTAACTGAAGGAAGTTTTTTTAACAGTGGTTAATTCATTGTCAGTAGGAGGCTGATGAAACAATGGATTCAGTCATGAATTAATGGAAAATAGAACTATTCATAATTATGCTGATTAAGGGCCTACTTCAAACAATTTAAAATAAACAGTAAATTACTCTTCCTTTTAAATATTTTGTATAGTTTATTATACTGTACTTGATAATTAATTAAATAAATTAAAGAGCCCAAGCTTCAAATTCAATAAAAATGTGACTAACTTAAAAAAAAAAAAAATAGTATCCTATTTTTCTGAGCGAAATCAGAAAAGGTTTACTGACATGAAATATAATAATACTGACAATATACAAATAGATATATATATATATATATATATATATATTGATATATCTTATAAATACTTATGATATATCTTACGAAAGATAAATATTAATATATATATATATATGTTTATAAAAAACACAGAAATCACTTTATTCAAATCAATTTGAGTAGTTTTTAAAAACCAAAAAATTGTCACTTAGATTTTGTCAACATTTTAGTAAAAAAAAAAAATTGGTTCAACAACAGCGTGTACTGTAGAGGCATTATTTATATACCATTGATTCATAAGAGTTATATTAATTGTTATTTGGAAGAATTTGTAGACTTAGCGCTTTTAATTTTTGTTCTTTCAAATTTATAAATTTGGTATTTAAAAATTGTTTCTGATATATTAATAAAAAGGTGAGACAAAAATGATCTGTGATGATAATAAAATTTGAAAATATATTGGAAAGTTAGCCCTTTTTATAGTTAATATAATTTTCATAATGTTTTTTAATAATAATTAAAATATGAGTAGTAGTTAAGAATAGTTTCGAACCACTACCTATCAATAAAAAATTGAACTATTGAGAGGAGTGATATTCAATTAATGCCTAAATAATGCTGCGTTTACATTTTATAATCTGTCTTTGTCTACTTTAAAGGAAAAACTAGCAGAAAAAAATGCAAAATAAACATTAATTTGAACAAAGATGAAAAAAAAACTTTCATCCTGGTTTCTATTTGATTTAATACTGATTGCTGAACATCAAAGTACTAAATACCACTAGCGGATCCAGGATTTAATTTTGGGGGCTTCAGCCCGAAAGATTTTTTTTTCATAAAAATAACGATAATTACTTTGGAAAAAAAAGAAAGAAACTAACTACCTATATGAAATGGTGTTTAAGTGATTCTTTAAGCCCTTTTATATGTAATTACACGAACAATAATACTTTGAGAGATAATTTTTTAATATTTTTTTCGATAAAACATGGTTATATTTTCCCATTTTTTTGAGGGGGACTTCAGCCGGAAAGCCTCCCCCCCATAGATCCGCCCGTGCTAAATACAACTTCTTGATAAAAAAACTTAGTGCTGTAAACAGGGCTTATAACATATGTAATAATCTATAATGTACATTGGTATAATGCATATAATATTTATGTTATCTTAAATACAAGATGTTCCTCTCACTTGTGCTTAATTAAATTTAAATAATTCAACACAATATGAAGCTTAAACTGAATATTGAGTAAAAAGAAAACTTCAAATATATAAAAATAAAATTTTGCTATAATAAAAATGCAATACTTATTCAAGAGTGCTTACATTTTAATTTGTTCTTTCAAGTGATGAATGACCATCTGTTGAGTGTATAACTGACCCTGAAGATGAGCGACAGTGGAAGACGAGTGTTTAGCAGCATGATCCCTCACCAATCTACTAATTTCTGACTCGTGCTGCTCTTGTAAATCGCTAAGCTACATGAAGTATATGAATGGCAGACAGGTTATTAAGAATGTAAAACAGACCATGGCACAAACTTCAAATGTTAGCAGTAAAGTTATTATTTTAGTTAATTCATTTGTAATAATCATACTAACATCTTGAATTCTCTTATTATGGAGGCTGATAAGGTCTTGTTCCAATTTTTTAATTTCTTCCTTTAAACTCCTGTTTTCCGATCTTAAAAATAATATGTTTTCTTGTTCCTCTAAAACAATGTTCAGAAAATTAAAGAAAACTACACACTAGAACTAAAAATTATGAAAAGTTAATAGCATAAAATAAAATCCAGTGAGCAAATAATAAAATTAAAATAATTATTTTCTTGCCTGCATATAAAACAGGGTTGTAATCTTTGCTAGAGCTCTGATCTGAATCTGATCTTGAATTTTTGTCCATATCTTTAGGCAGGTGTATACCTATAACATTTGATTCAATTTACTCATAAAATGATTGATCTTTCACCCGCATAAGCCAAGAATAATTATAAAATAATTGAACCTTAAACAGATACATTAAAATTAATTTCATTCGTGAAACCAAGTATATCTAACATAAGTATATTTATATCCTTATGAAAGTGATATAGTATTAGGAACAACAAAATTTCCAAATAATTAGCTTAAGTTCTTGAAAAACTAACTAATTAAATATATTATTCCCATATTACAATTTAGTTTATAAATTAAATTAAAAAAAAAATTGTAAGAGGAATTATGAAAAAAAAAGTAATAACTTGAGTCTACGAAACAAAAGACAATTTTTCCCTACATTAACTTTCTTAGAAATGTTTGTTATGAGGTTTCATATAGTGCATATGGTCTTTAATAGTGCACATGGTACTAAATACTAATAAATTGAATATAATTGTAATAAAAAATTGAATTATATTTACCATTACTTCTGTACTTGTTCCCAGCATTGAGAGCTTTTTCTCTTTCTCTCTGAAGCCTTCTATTTGTTTTCCGAATTTCGTCTAGTTCCTTATTCAGCTTTACAATATCCTTGTCACGGTTACTGATTTCTGCTTTAAGTCCTCGGATAGTCGCAAGCAAATGGGCATCTTCCTTGGCTGCCGGGATTGGTTTCGGACCACGATCACGTTCTTCCAAAGAATTCTTCAGCGTAACTGATTCCTTTCTGAGTTTTTTAAGTTCTTGCTCAAGTTTAAATATGTCCTGGTCATATTTACTCTGACAAACAAAAAAATAAATAATTGTGCATCTCCTCTAAAAAGAGAATTAATATTTAAGATAATTTTTTTGTTTATACTAAATGATTAAAATTTACTATAAAGAAGCTCTTAGAAACAGCTTCTCAACAAAATTATGAAATAAGGATTTCTATCAATTCATTGAAGTTTTTGGAAAAGGGGTTATTCTGATATTTGGTTGAGTATTTACATGTTATATGGGCAGGCAATTTTATATTTAAATTGAACCTTTTGTATGTCCACAAAAGATATTAAATTAATGAACATTAGCATGTTTTATGGTTATAATGTGCAAGTGTGACTAAATCCAATAAAGGCTTGAGAGTTGAATATTGAATATAGCATAGCATATTGAATATTGAATCATAGCATAGAAAAAAAAATGTTTTTTTTTTATATCAGATTTTTTAAAATTAAGTTAACATGAAGCCATTTGAGATGATCATTCCCGACTTCAAACATAGATAACTGTCCAAATTATATGAAATTACTATGGAATAATTTGAAAAATAATCATAAATCAAACCTTTTACCAACTTCAGCAATAATCAAAGTAGGTAATATTTACTAATTTAACTTTAAACAATTTTTTTATATCACTACTGTGAGTTTACAAGGTTGTATGTAACTATTTTACACTAGTAGGCCCGTGCGAAAAATTCGCACAGCATATTGTTATCAAATGCCAGATTAATAAAAAAAAAATAATGCGACCTATCAAAAGATAAATAAATCAAATGTTACTTTATCGATAAATATAATCGACAAATAAAACAAAAATTAATTTAAATCTTCATTTTTGTTTGGAACCAACATGTTTACAAATTTCAGTAAGCTGTATCTTCGCTAAAAATTGTCCGATTTCAATGATTTTTTTTCCATTCTGTAGGGAATTTAGTAATCTTTTATATAACCATGGGCATAACCCAGGGATAAGTGTGTAGTTTTTTTTTAGTTATTCGCAAATAAAGTTTGTTTTCTTTTATAACTTTTTGGCCTGAATTTTCGGGATGATTGGACTATTTTGTCCGCCTGAAGGAGAAGGAAGTCTTCGAAATTGGTGGCTCAATCTTGAGATTTGGTGAAAAATTGACGATGATATGGCTTGCCGATCAAAGAGACCATATATAAATAATATAAACTCCTCCTCTCTAGATCATAGACTCAAGTCGACGAAATGAGACATGTATTCAATGACGGTACTACAGTTAATGTAAGGTTGTGTGGATGCGAACATTATGCCATGCGTTATCTCGAAAATAGTTCGTTTTTGGGCTTAAAAACATAGGATCTGATAGTTCCGTAGGAACTATCCGGGTCTTGCTGTACACATCAAAATCTTCTAGATCCAATTTGTCCCATATCGATCTACAGACCTACCACTATTCAGGTATTGAAGCCTAGCAAAATGTTTGTATCGACTTTATTTATTTTAGAAAGAAAAACAAAAGTAGAGAATATGATTCGCTAATCCCCCGTGAAATTCTGAATCCAACGGTACCCTATTCATGGTATTTGAGCATGACAGGAGATTATATCTGGTACAAAACCGATTTCGAGCCTTACTGTAATAATATATGTACGGATGTTTATTCTCTTTGCCATAAAAGTGACATTTTGTTGTATTCTGTAACTGCCATAAGTAGTCTGCTAAATAGGAAAAAAACAAAACACAGAGGGAAATAAAGTATGGACTTATACTAATAAATAATAAAGAAATAATTAGGTTTTATGCCTTTTTTTTTAAAAAAAGTAAATTTCTACATACAACCTTTTGCACTAACAGTAGCAATATAACAAACTTTAAATAGTGTTCAGCAAATAAATTTGGCAGAGATTATATAAGTACAGTTATAGTAGCATCAACAACATGTTACTAGGTTCATAAAGAGATATAAAACATGTAATATGATATTTAAAAAACAATAGGAAATGTTTTACAAACTCAATTTTATAAGAATTATTATGTCACTCTTTCATACTTGCAATTCATTTATGTGTTGCTGTTTTGCAGCTAGTGCAGCCTGACTTTGAGAAAGTTCTGCATGCAAGGCTTTATTTTTTTGTTCATAACTCTCCCTGTTGCTATCTTGGTAGTAGGCCTCGCCGATGGGGAGGCCGGAACCAGATTTAGAACGCTTTATCAAGATGTTCTCCATTTCTTTAACCTAAAAAAATAAAACATACATTATAGTAATTATTTTCTCCTCACTTCTTGCCCATGGGTCTAATTTAACTGAAATAAACACTCGTAATTTATAGTGTTTTCTTTATCTCGATGTTTCAGAGATACTTTGTTTCCTTCTTCAGCTTACAATTTGCTCCAGTCCATGAACAAGTTCATTCAATGATCAAACACTCCTTCATGGGTTACCTTGGTTCAAATTATGCGATGAGGGGAACAAAAGAGCACCGAAACGTCTAAATAAAATTAATTAAGAAATTTATTTAATTAAGATCATCTATTTATTAAATTAATCTATGGGCAAGAAGTGAGGAGAATATAATTAATGAAGAAAGGACAAGACTACAAACTAATTAATATATTGCAGTAATTGTTAATTGATTCTAATAGCTCAGTCATTTGAAATTTTCTTAATAAAAGTAATGATATTATTTAGACCATTGTGAAAGTGGTACGTAATTTTCTTTTCTTTTTTTTTTTTTTTAATATTTGCTTGAATTGTTCACTTTTTAATTTATTAAAAAATATTGATTATTTCTTACAAATTAATTGAAAAATATGGACATTTTACGACACTGCAGTTTCTGATTCCTATCAAATTTGTTGTAAAATGAAAAGGCAAATTATTTAATTTTAAGAATAATAACAAAGTTACAAATTTATGCATCTTAGTCTGACATAATAAAAGTACCAACTAATTTATTGTTAATTCTTATTTCAATTGTGCAATGGATTGAAATTAAACATTGTATAGATGCAAGTAATTTTACATGTTAGGGGAAGTTTGAATGTGGAGTAGGTTTTGGAACAGGAGTTGTTTGAAGGAATTTGTGGATGAGGATTGACGCATGGGGGTAGGAAGTGAGTTCCATAAGGAAGCAGTATGGATGACGAAGAATTTGCTGAAGGAGGAAGTTTTATGGGAGGGAATATATAAGTCTATAGGTTGAGACCTAGTATTGAGAGAGTGGATAGAGGAGCGCAGAGTAAGGATTTCCAGGATGTAGGGAGGGTTTTTAGTTCTGAAGACTTGGAAAAGGAAAACGCCAAGAAGGAATTGTAGTCGGGAAGTAGGATAAAGCCACTTCAACTCGGTGTACCATAGTGAAACATGTGAACGTCTGGGGATCCCGAAAATGAATCTTATGAAACAATTCATGAGTCTTTTTAGTCTCAATTCCAGCCTGGCAGATAGCCCTCCATACACCAAGCAGCCGTAGTCGAAGTGGGGGAATACAAGAGAGGTTACAAGGAGCTGTCTGGTTTTTAGAGGAATACAATCACGGAATCTTAGGAGTTGTTTAAGGGCAGTTATGGATTTTCGGGTAATCTGGGAGATATGATTATCCCAGGAGAGGTTCTGGTCAAAGGTTACTCCTAGGTTTTTGACTGTAGTGAAAAAATGGATGGGGTGGTTATTGAGGTAAAGTAGAGGAGAGTAAAGAAGGGAGCTGATGAGATTTTTGGACCCGATGATAATAGCCTTGGTTTTATCTGCATTCAGCTTTAATTCATTTATTTCTGCCCATCTGTTGATGCAGTCGATGTCCTCTTGTAGCCTCCGGGCAGCCTCAGGCATCTCAGAAGGTTGGAATGATTGGTATATTTGTAAATCATCGGCATATAGGTGGTAATGGGGGTGTTGAATGGCGTTAGGAAGGTCACTAATATAGATGGAGAAAAGGGTCGGGGAGAGTGAGGAACCCTGAGGTGAGGAACACCTCGCGTTAATTGAAGTGATGATGATGGAGGTTTATTCGGTATTGTGACTGTCTGAGATCGATTGGATAAGAAGGATAGGAACCATTTTAGGACGCTGTTTAACATGGGCAGGCTTTGAAGTTTGGAAAGAAGGATCTCATGATTAACGGAATCAAACGCCTTGGAAAAGTCAAAAAGAATTAGGATGGAGATTTTCTGTTTATCTATGGCAGATTGGAGGTCTTGGGTAATCCTTAGCAAGGCAGACTGGGTGGAATACTGGGATCGGAAACCAGATTGTAAGAGATTGAGGAGATGGTTTGCTCGAGAAAGCTGTGCAACTTTAAGCTGTTAAAAGATTCTGTTACCAATTACAGTATCTGTAATTATTGTTATTTATTTTATATCTTACATCTTGAGAAGCTGTGGGTGTCCTCTATTATATTCATCTCTATAATATAACATATTATAATAAAAAAATTAACAATTCATAATCTTACACAATTTTTTAAATAATTGTCATGCAATTATTATCATTTCATGCCATACCTTTATGCCTTATATTTCTATTGAAAAACATAAAAGATTGGAACAATGTTCATTCATTGTCTCATATTTTATCTAAAATTATTTTGGATTAAAATTAGTGATTAATTAAATAAAATAAATAATAATAATTAGAGAGACTGTCCCGGTAACAGAATCCTGATCTTCATAAAATATAAATAGTCCAATATTACTAAATAACAAGAATGTTAAATTAAAATTATATCGATCAATAGGAGTATGAATAATGACAGTGACTCACTTGTCGTCTGAGGTCTAAAATTTCTTTAGACATGGTTTCCTTTTCTTTTACAAGTTCTTTGCTATTTTCCCTCTCTATAGCTAATGCAGCCTGCAATTGGCTAATAGTTGATGTTAAGTTTTCAGAGGACTGGTTAATAACACTTCCAAGCCTGATTTTTTCTAATTCCCCTCTCAACTGGCCTATCATCCCGTTTAAACGAACAATCTGGAATGAAAATCAATTAATAAATTATTTTTAGCAAAAAAAAAACATAATTAACGAATACAATGTGTAATTTGATAAAACTTGCTTTAAAATTTTTTTAATCATAAACATGACCCAATAGGAAATCAAGGAAAATCATTCCTGATAGTAGAAAAATTCAAATACCTTGGCTCCACAATAAACTCAATGAATGACCAACGTGCAGAAATAGACCAGCGTATAACAGAGCTTTCTTTTCCCTTTCAAAGGTATTGAAAACCCAAAAAGTCTCATATTAAGGGCGTATAATGCTATGATAAAGCCAGTTCTAATATATGGCTGTGAGACCTGGACACTAACTAGCACTCTAGAAAAAAGTATTTAAAGATTTAAGAGAAAAATCCTCTGCACGATAACTGGAGCAATCTTGGATCAGAATACTAACACATGAAGAAGAAAGACTAATAAAGAACTGCTTGCTGAAAGTGGTCAATCAAAATCCCATGATATGAAGGCATGGAGGTTAAGATGGACGGGGCATGCAGCTCGTGGCAATCCATCTGAAAACCTCTACATAACAATGAATGCCTTAATAGAAAGCAAAAGACCACGTGGAAGGCCAAAAAGCAGATGGATAGATAAAATCGACAAAGATCCAATAGAGCTGTGTGCAGATAAATAGAAAGAAATAGCCCAAGACAGGCAGAGGTGGAGCAGGTTTGTTAAGGAGGCAAAAGATCTACATGGTGTGCAATACCAACAGAAAAAAAATAAATTGCGTTTTGTTTAAAAAATTACTCAATTTAAAGAATTAAGAATGAAAATAAAAAAAAATTGAAAAAAAAGTTGTGGCTGCAGGTCAAATTATCTTATGATTCAAATGGAAAGCAAATAATCAGTATTCATGAGTCTTTAGTACCTAATAAAATAGACAAAGTTTGCCGATATCCAGATTGAAAACACCATAATTCCGAGAATTGTTGAAAATAAAAATGTAGGTTACGATGAGATGGAGCTTTTTATGAAGTTTTAGGCAGATATCAATAATATGGAAAAAGGGGTTTGTACCACAGACTATAAAATTAAATAGATTAAATATATTAGACATAAGAGAAATTTAAATTGTGCTGCAACTTGTGAGGTATTGCAATATACTCCATTGAGAATAAGATATAATGTATTGAAAGAATGGTTACATCTTTGATTAGAGGTTGAGTCAAGTATCAGAACTTCTTGGAAATGTTTATATCACAGTGAAATAGCGAATGGGACAAAAATAGAAAAAGCAAACATTTAGACTTAAAAATACAAATTTGAATTTATCGATCATTTAATTATAAAATAAAAATACATACATCACAATTCTATGATGTTAAAAAAATCAATCCTCAAGAATTAATAAAAGATATTTTCATTGACACAATGAGAATTCACCAACCAACTGACATTAAAATCTCAATCAGTATTTAAGTTAACTTGATAAAGAATCGCAAGTTGGAGAAACACACAATAATAATTTTAAAAATACATATGAATCTCATAATAATTAATTAAAAATAAACATTTTTTTGAAAGTCTAGTACTTTTAATCTCATGTAAATGGAATTTATTGATTATTTTCTTGCAGATCTTACAGATAAAAAAAAAAATAAATAAGTTCTACTTGAGATAGTAATGGTGATGATTTAGTAAAATGAGAAACATATTATGCTTTGAAAAGGAACAAATTTTGATTCATAGAAACATATTTTAAACCCATTTATCATTTTTAACTTTACCTCAGTTTGTTTTCTTGTAACTTCAGTATTAGCTTGTGACAGTTTCCCTTGAATTGTTGCGTTAGATTCAATAGCTACGAGCTTTTCTTTTTCAGATTTTCTCCAATCTTCCATTTCTCTTTTATATTCATCTATCTCAAAGTTTAGTCGAGTAACATCGACAGTTAGCTCTTCGTTCATCCTTTCAACTTCCACTTTTTCATCCTAAAAAATATGAATGAAGCTGTTAAAAAAAATCATTAAATTGTATATACTGGTTCAAAATAAAAGGGATCATGACAGAAGCATCTGACAATAATCAGTAAAAAATACAAATGCTTTTTTTTCTTTAAATAAAGCATAGAAACTTTATTAACATTAATATTTAAAACAATACCCGCATATTACAATATCTTACCAGCAACTTAGTGCAAAGTCAATAGTTTTAAACAATGAAATAGAAACATATATTATATGTATGTATAGTTATTAAAAACACAAGGAATGTGGACAAAATAACTCATTAAATTATTTTTCTTCTTGATATCGATGTAAGTATGAACTCCATTTTGTCAATATTCAATGATTAATTCGCCCACCATCTATATTTGAACTGCTTCGTAAGTTTTACGCTTTCCATCTCCTAGGCATGGGGTCTTTCAATACTAAATTCAATGGATGTTAAGAATCAAAGTATTTCACATACTACTTTATACTAAGATTAGACACATATTACTTGAAATCATGACTGTTATCACTTTAAAAATAGTACTCTGCATCTAGTGTTTGAATAATTTTAAATTTACTTAACAAAAAAGACATAAAATTCTTTATATTTTCAATTCCATAGACAACAGCATTTTTATTTGTTTAAATACTGGTATGAGGTTTATTTGCACCAAATTTCAGTTTAAATTTTTCATTGGTATTTGGCCCAAGTGTTAAGGGCAGCATGATGACTAAAATAAGAATATTCTATGAGAAATGAAAGAAAAGTGAGGATGTATTTAGAAGGAACTAATATAAAATATTCATTACATTTCAATACTAGGAGCTAGAATTAACAAAAAAGTTTTGCAATTTAAAAAAAAACAGATACGACCAAAAAACAAACAAAACGACCTAATAGCATACATATAGCCATTATATGATCATACAAATTATACAAACCTTAATAGTTTTCAATTCTAGTTGTAAAACAGCAATAGTTTCCTCTGCTGCTTTGAGCTTTTCTTTAAGTTGCATTATTTCAGAATTTGTTTTATTCATAATTGCAATTTTTTGTTGTTCATTTTGACGTGCTTTTTCTAGCAGCTTCATTTCAGTCTCTTTCCAAGCTTCCTGTGTTAGGAAATAAAACAAAAGGATTTAAATAGAATAATTTTTTACTACGTAAGAAGCATGAGAACATTATAGTTATGTTGCATATAAATTTATTAGTATATTTTCCATAACTATAGTTCTTTATCAAAATTATCAACAATAACTATCATATTTCCATCAAATTGAATGTTTAATAGTTGACCATTGCATTATAAAGGAAGGAGATGGTAGAACTGACTGTTCTAAGTGAAACTCCTAGCTGAACACACCTCCCTGAAGAAGACCTGCAAAGTCGGGTCGAAACGTCGGCTTTTAAAAAAATAGTTTTACCACTATTTAGCCTATTTATGATCGCCACCCCAGACCATCTCCTTCTTTTATATTTCTATCAAATTTTTTTGAAGTTATTAAAAAAAATAAATAAAATTAATAGATTTTGTGATATGAATAGCAAAGTTGAACACAGTGCTGACTAGACTGCCTCCTCCCTCCCTTCGTAAAAAAAACCAATAAAGAATTAGGTGTCTCTACCAATGTCTGACTTTAACATCCAAGGGCTTTTAGAGCACAGATGTATTTTATTTACAAGAATAATATAATAATAAATGAGTAATAGTGCAGATGGATTTTTAATAACCTTGAAAATGTCAAAATAGTGTGTAAACATTGGGTTCTAAATATGCAATAAGTATCAACCAAAATTTTTGTAAAATTCCCTAATTTTTTCATTCACCGAAGAACGATATGCCTAGGGTATTTGTAGCAAAATTAAAATTTTTGTTAAAATTATTTACGTAGTTTGTAAAACATAATTTATTAAATATGTAGGTTGGTAGGTTGGGCTTATATCATATTAGCATTCATTGTTCATATTAAAAATTAAATAAAAGAAGTCTAATTATAAAAAATTATGTAAATCAAATATTCTATAAACACTTGATTCTTACGTATCTAATTGTTAAAATATGTTATAATATTTTAATCAACTGAAAAGAAAAATTATTTATTATAGAAGAAAATGGTAGTATAAGGAATAACAACACATTTGTTTTTTTGTACCATTTTATTATTTTTATTTTACAGGTAATAAATAAATAAATAAATAAAATAAGTCCATCATGATCTGGCCGCAGCTGCAGCGATTACTTTGACTGCTTCGTATGCTTCTTTAGCAGTTGGAAGAATTTGTCTGGCGGGCAGAGTAAATCCATAGCTGCCTTTGTCTCTCAACTCAATAGTGTAAACGTAAGTAGCACCAGTTTGTGCTTTCACCCAGTCATCTGATCCACCTGGCACACATTTTTTTTTGGATTATTTTGTATAAATTTGAGGTTGACATGAAATATATTAGGTTTATAAATAAATTGGATAATTTGTTTAGATTAACAGAAAGTACGTAAAGTACATGATTTTCCGAGAGAATTGCTCAAACTATTTTATAGTTTAATGCCTGAAGTTATTCGGTAAAATCCTTTATGTATTTTGAAATAATTTGAGCACAAAATACTGAATAAATATTAAGTAATTTTGATTTTTTGTTGGTTTTATATCATAAATGTATAAACTTATGATCCTATGAGATGAATATAAATTGTTAATACTTGAAAAAATAAAAAGGTTCAAATAAAAAATAATTTAATTTAAAAAGAAAAAAAAAGACTGAAAAAACCTTTCTGTCCTAAGGGGCAGAATATACTTTTTTATCTACTTAAACACATTGGTGGATTGCGAATGAAGTTGAAGTCAATATTGAAACTTGGTGTAGCATTCAGGTGCCTTCCACCACAAGTTCACCTCTCACAAATAGTCCAGTCAATGAATGATTGATTATAGAAGAAAATGGCGGGAACACAATTTTTGACTTTGGGACAACATTCAGACTAGCTAGTAAGGAGGTAAATATACTAAAAGTCCCCACTCCTAGGTGGTGAGCCAGATTTTTTTTTTTTGTTCACCTCATGTTTTTTACTGTATTTGACTCGCTAACTCTTGATTGCTCCATTCTAAGACTAATTCATGTGGAAGAAAGTTTTTAATAATTAAATTTTTTTCAAGAATATATATTATTTTACTAGTTTATCTCTAACAGTTCAAAAGATAGATCAATTATAACTTTATATGTCAATTCCGAGATTTTGCAGGAAAAATTAATTTTTATAATATTTGTTATTATAATGCTCTAACTCTCTATATACCTAAATCACTATGTATACACCTATTAATACATACAATAACAAATATGATAAAAATTATTTTTTTTTTTCCAAATTCTTGGAATTGAAATGTAAAGTTATAATTGGTCTAACTTTTGAGTCGTTGAAAATAAACTAGTAAAATATTCTTTTTTCCTTTTTCTGGGAATTTGTATGATATTCTCAGTTATTTGGCAATGATTACTTCCAATTAGCAACAATTGAATATATTTGTTGTATTACCAAAATTGCATGTTTACAAGTTTACGTTTCGGGATATTTACTCCCATCTTCAGAACCACAATCCCAATGATCTTGTGGATGAAAGGCTAAAATATTTTTGAGTTATAATATAGTGCATGTTACAATACATGTCAGAATTTCGTTGTTACAATAAATTTGTAATTACCTTAAAAATAATGTGCTCCATTGTCAGTTTCTAATTCATGTTATAATAATCTAGGTATAATATAAATAAGAAACTGACGATGGAGCACATTATTTTTAAGGTAATTACAAATGTATTGTAACAACAAAATTCTGACATGTATTTTAACATGCACTATATTTTAACTCAAAATTTTTTTAGCCTTGCATCCACAAGATCATTGGGAAGATGGGAGTAAATATCCCTAAACATAAACTTGTAAACATGCAATTTTGAAAATACAACAAAGTAATAATTGGAAGTAATCATTGCAAAACAACTAAGAATTAGTACAATATTATATATTCTAGAAGCAAACTTAATTATTAAAAACTTCCTTCACCCATGACTTAATCGTAGAATGAATCAATCAAAAGTTAGCTGGTAAAACAGTTTTTTTTTTCTTTTTCGACATTAGCGATAGTTGAGGACGGATATATCGGAAACTAAGCGACATGGCGAAAAAAGACACATAATCAATCATATTTTAAATTCTATCAGCTTTAATTTTGTATAGAACATTTTTTTCAATGCAATAGATAGTCTTTTTATATAAGCAAAAACCCGAAAAACAGCAATAAACATGATCAACGATTTTTTTTTCAAAATTAGCTGTAGTTAAGGAGGGATGTCTTGGAAACTAAGCGAGGTAGCGAAAAAAGATATAGGATCAATCATATTGCAAATTTTATCAGCTTTAATTTTGTATAGAACATCTTTGTCGATGCGAGGAATAGTTTTCCTGATATAAACGAAAACCCGAAAAAAGTTACTCTCCACATCTGACTCACCAGGAGAGGGGACTCTTAGTATATTTACCTCCTTACCTAGTCCTAACAATGTCCCTAAGTCAAAATGTTGTCACTGTCATTTCTTTCTATTCCCATTTTTCGAGCATTCATTGACTGGACTAAAACAGAAAGCTCCTTGCATCTGTGAGTGTAAACATACAATAAAAAAATTGAAGTATTGTCAAAGATTCGTGACTTTTGAACAGGTGTGGAAGAAATCCTACAACAACATAAAGTTCTAATATCTATAGAAATCAACTTCACTAATAACAAATCAATGAGAAGTTGTTTCTTTTTTGAGTTAAATTTTTATTTATTTATTTTATTGACCTCCGTTACATGTATAAAAAGTTATATTACAAGCCAATATGGTTCAGCGATATAAGTGTAAAGTAGCCTTTTTTTTCCGGCACATAAATGGGAAACAATCTCAAATTCAGTTATCTCTTAAACTAAAATTATTCAGTGCAATACCTGATGCAGGGTAGAGCGTATGGGCTGTATTTCCCACCGTGTAATGCTGACCACCTGAACGAGCCATAGCATGTGAAGCACGAATGGCAACTCGTTCCATTTCTTTAAAATCTGCTGGAAAAGCATTGTAATCATAGCCATAAGGAATCAAAATATACTGTCCATAGCTGTGAAATGTTACATAGGCCTGAAAATAAATAAATTGTGATCCGTTACTAAATTACTAGACTGATAAATAATAGTTTTCTAAAGACTTCTAAGATAAAATTAAAATACCTTAACATTCCTGAGACCTTTGATAAATGTAGCTAATGCTCTGCTTTCGTTCTCAGAAAGAGCTGATCTACCTCTGTAAATTTCAGAGCAAGGGTTAGCGCTTGTTCCTTTGCCACCCCAGCTATGGGCAAAATTTCTATTTAAATCGGTTCCAGAACAGCTAACATAACTTCGGGATTTATTTTTCCTCCAAAGCCTGTTGCCTAAGTGGGTATATTCATAACCATCAGGGTTCACAACGGGTACTATATAAAACTCAACCTCTTGGAGATCAGCAGGAAGATTGCTCCTATTTTCAACGAGCTCACGAATAATATAGGCAGTAGTGGCGGGAGAAATCCATTCTCTGGCATGAATACCTATAAAATATAAAAAATACATTGACAAGTAAGCAATAAAAACTTTTTTTTAAACACTATTATATCTTAATATACAGATAATTTATCATTCCTTACCTCCATCAATAACAAAAACGTTTGGGTTAGGTTTGCCAGATGAAATTCTAATATATTTGATTGGTCTATTTTCATAGCTGTTACCGATTGCTCCAACAGTCACCAGGTTTGGATAAGTTTGAGCTAGATAATCCATATATCCATAAATAACATCCAACCGTTGATATTTATCCCAATTCATTTTGTGCCCTGAAGAGAAGAATTAACTTGTTAAAGTAAAATTTTGATAAATAATAGACTTTTACTGTAATTTAGACAAAAAATAACAAGAACGTTTAATTCTACTTCATATGATCATTACAGTAGAAATATTAAAATAGTCGAAGTCATAAATTTATTTGTCTTTCTAAGTAATAAACATTACTTGTAATTTTTTATAATAATTTGCTTTTATCGTACCTTT